CCCCCCCGGAGCCCTGGTGCCCCCGGCATGGAGCGCCCGCTCAACCTCAGCTGCTTCACTGATGTGACGCCAGACACCGGCAACCAGAGCGGGTCCTCCGCCGGCCCGGATGGCGGCCAGGTGCATCTCTCCGTCTTCAGCGTGCTGGTCCTCACCCTGTTGGCCATGCTGGTGGTGGCCACGTTCCTCTGGAACGGGTTGGTCCTGGCCACCATCCTCCGAGTGCGCACTTTCCACCGGGTGCCCCACAACCTGGTGGCCTCCATGGCCATCTCCGACGTGATGGTGGCAGCCCTCGTCATGCCCCTCAGCTTGGTGCATGAGTTGTCCGGGAGGCGGGGGCGGCTGGGCCGGTCGCTCTGCCAGGTGTGGATCTCCTTCGATGTGCTGTGTTGCACCGCCAGCATCTGGAATGTCACAGCCATCGCTCTCGACCGCTACTGGTCCATCACCCGCCACCTGGAGTACACGCTCCGCATCCGGCGCCGCATCTCCAACATCATGATTGCCCTCACCTGGGCACTGTCTGCCTTCATCTCCTTGGCCCCGCTGCTCTTTGGCTGGGGAGAGACTTACTCAGAGGACAGCGAGGAGTGCCAAGTCAGCCGAGAGCCTTCCTACACCATCTTCTCCACCTTTGGCGCCTTCTACCTGCCCCTCTGCGTGGTACTCTTTGTGTACTGGAAGATCTACAAGGCCGCCAAGTTTCGAATTGGATCTCGGAATAGCAACTCCATCACCCCCATTACACCAGAAGCCCTGGAGGTAGGTCAACACGGTTGTATTTTGCTCTAGTCAACTGCTGGTAGCAGCCAAGCCCTTGCAACAGTAAGGGAAACTTAGAGCTAAAGTGTGCAAGCAAAGAGCATCCCACCAAGGCCCTGTGAATCCTGGAGGCTTTCAAGGGAAAGTTGACTACAAAGCTTGCAAGCCCAGTCTTTTGACTCCTTCCGAGTCCCCAGCTGGGGACGCGAGGTGTAGCTAAAGCAACTTTGGGCCAGATTGCGAGCCTGAGCTCCACGTGGGTGTGCAGTGACTCACAGACATCCCCCCATGGAATGCTGAATCAGTGCTCACAAGCGTGAGTAAGGGGTCACCGTTCCTCCTGTGGGGAGGTGTGTGGGGGTGTGAATAGATGGGATCCCGTCTCCACTGCGGACGATAACCTGGCAAGCGGCTGTGGCTTTGGGGAGGCTGTGAATTTACCCACACAGAAGACACACGTGCAGAACATCCTTGTAAATCCTTCCTAATCGTGGCTGCATCGTGTCAGTTCATCACAGGCACGGTGGCTGTGCACTGCAAAGGCTTCTTGCGGGGAGAAAGGAAATGTATGTTCATTTTCTTGCCTCTCCTACTAAGGACTCTTAAACTCAATGGGTTCAGAGAAAGCAAGGAGACTTCTGTGCGCGGCATGTGGGCGTGTGCCCGTTCTACTGATCTGATTGTAAATGGGGAATAATCTTATTGCGATGCTGTGTGAGCAATTCCATGTGTCCATATATCACTACTCTCTTTAGTTTCTAGCCTCACTTAAAAATAGTAGTCTCTGTTACCCAGAAGGTCATTCATCCAATCTCCCCTCCATCAGAGCGTGACGTAGATTGCCCGTGTTCCCCCATGAGCTCTGGCCATCGCTTGCATAGTTTGGTTGTGTTCCTGCTGTGTGGGATCAGCTGACTGAGGCGCATATGGTGCAACTTGTGTTTGTGTTTGGCAGGTAAAAGAAGCTGCCCAGCAGCCACAGATGGTCTTCACTGTCCGTCATGCCACTGTTACATTCCAGACGGATGGAGACACGTGGAGAGAGCAGAAGGAAAAGAAAGCTGCCCTCATGGTGGGCATCCTTATCGGGGTCTTCGTGCTCTGCTGGATCCCCTTCTTCATCACAGAGCTCATCAACCCCCTCTGCTCCTGCGACATCCCACCCATTTGGAAGAGTATTTTTCTATGGCTAGGCTATTCAAATTCCTTTTTTAATCCACTCATCTACACTGCTTTCAACAAAAACTACAACAATGCCTTCAGGAACCTATTCTTTAGACAGCACTGAGCAGAAAAACCTTTCCTGCTGCCCCAAGAAGCTGATTTCAACTCTCAATGAATCCTACCAAACTCTTGAGGAAGTTCAAAGCCACAGATACCGAGGTGATGCTAAAGATGCATCCCCATGGGTCGTACGTCCCAGCAACGATCCTGGCTCCTACGCAGACTCTCCATCCCAGCCTCTAAATCAGTTGCTATTTTTCCTGCAAACAGCAAGTCAGGGTTTCTCTGGCCAGCAGCACAGCATTCTTCCTCCAGTGCCCCACTGCTTCCCTCCCGCCTTCCTAGTGACGTTCTCTTTGGTGGCAGTAATGGCGTGGAGGTGTCTTCTGGCAGAGTCGTATCTGAAGCTCTGGTTTGGCCACTGCTAGTCTCTCACAGCATTAATCAACTTTGTCCCATGTGTGAAACTGGGACTGTTTAATGTCAGGAGGTTTTGTGATTATGTATGAAACCAGACATTTTATGGCTTGGTTGAAAAGGCAGTTTGTCTTGTCTTTCGCCGGTAGAGATTGTTAAGCGTTTGTATTTGGGGAATAACACCCTCCGTAAGGGTTAAAAGCTGACTCCAAGTACAAAGCCTTTTTTCACATGCTTTATCAACAACAAATTGTGCTATTTGCTATTGGATTCCATGTAGTAAGTTTTAAAAATTTATTTATTGTGAAAGCTTAATGCATGGTGTACCCTGGAATGAAAAAGAATGCATGGGAAATCCACCTCTCGTTCTGTGACTGCTACGTGTGAGCATCTGCCTCAGACCTTTACTTTCAGAAATACCAGCTGTAAATGTTAATCTTTGTGTCCGCGTTTCCCATTCTAAACCATAAATGTATTTTGAGCAGCTGTGGGGCAGGTTTCCTGTAGGTGCAGGGGATGCAAGGAGTGTTTTTCAAATTGCCTGTCAATGAGGAGCTGTGTTTTGCTATTTCTGAGTGCGAGTCAGGTCTTGAAACCAAAGCAAAGACCCCACTTTGTTTCTGTGAGCACTGGATTGAAGCCAAAGGACAGTTAATAACCGGTGATACTTCATTCCGGAAGCATAACCAAACCATAGAGATGCTCTGCTGCAGGGACCAGACTTAAATATTTCTTCTTTTGCCCACCCCTCCTTCTCCTCCTCCTCCCTAAGGCTCCAGTCCTGCCTGGTCGTTATTGCTCTGCTGCCTCCCTGCCTTTCCGTGTTGCCAACACAATTATAGCAGTTGGCATTTCACTCCTGGAATGAAAATTACGCACTTTATACTGTGCCGCTGGAAGACCGACGGGCCTTCAGATAACGAAAAGCATTAGTTTTAACTATCGCTTCTTATGGGGCAGCCGCTGAAATCAGACCAGAACTGAAATGGTGAAGGAAAAGACAAGATGGGAATCAGAATGGCATGATTTTGTGTCAGATATCTCAAGAAGAAGAGATAAAGGGGGAAAATGTCAATAAATCATGGGAAAGCTCCTCAGGGTTGGATAGGATTAATTCTTAGGCTTAGCAGGTCGTGAGACATCAGATTGTTACTGGCCCTTTAAATCAGTCAAAAAACCTGGTAGAATTGGTTAAAAAGTCCTTTTTCTTTTCATATCTTGGGACAGGTGAAAATGGAAGCAGAGCTCAAGGTGCTATCAAGTGTTGCAGCTCTTTCAGGACCAGTTAGACAAACATCCATCACAACTGACATAGATGTAGCTGATCCTGCCTTGCGGCAGGAGGAGAGATAACATGGCCCTTGAGATCTTTTTCAACACTATTTTATAAAAATCTGTTAGAAATATTAGGTAAAATCCTCAGCTCATTGAAAGCAATGGACAAATTCTCAGTGATTTCAAGCAAATTAGAATTTTATCCAGTGTGTCGTGTCTTGTAAAAGCACAGTTTTAATGCTAATTAATTCAAGGAGAAGATGGGTGGGATGGGAGCACTCTTCTAACTCCCCTGAAAGAGTCTCTGATCTGTGCTAACCATGGACCAATCTCTACAGCATTTTCTGTCTTTGTTACATATTTTAAAGTATTATTGGTGACATCTCCGACATACCGAAAATTGTAATAAACTCTTGAGCCACTTTTTTTTACTGAGGATATAAAGGTTGCATTGGTTTCTCTGGACAGTCTATCACCAATGCAGAGTTGTGCTTTTTGGGAACTTACTACTTTTGTTGTGTCGAAGGTGGTTTAGCAAAAAATGATTTGGAAAAAAATGCTTCTTTGCCCGAGGCAGACTTTCAGCTAAGCTCAGTAGTGCCTGAAAGTAGGAGGCTACTTGTTAGGCCACCACAGCAACACTTTAAACACTAAAGCGTGAATTGACCGGGAAGTTGGATGTAGTCCACTGTTCTAACACATAACATCATGTCTACACAACTCTGTTTCAGTCCAGGCTGTGTTCATCCCCACTGTTACTTGCTCTTTGATGAGTATTGCAGATTCTCTATCTGTGTTGTGTGGCATCCTTGCACAGGTTGTGGAATCAACTGCAAACTCAAATTAGTATCCTGTGTAAGCAGACAAAAATTAAACTGAAATTGATGGGAAAAATCCCTACTTTTGCTGCAGCTCGGTGCTGGGATGAAGCTCCCTTTCGTTTTATCCTGTGTTTATTCATGCTATGCCTTAAGCAGTGACAAGGAGACAGGAGAGAATCTTAAAATGACACTAAATTCTATTTTGTCCATGACCATGGACAGTCCACCATCCTGGTGTAAACTACATCCACATTTATTTGACAACCCCATCCCATACAGTCCATATTGATCTTCTGCAAATAACAGCTTCCACTTGGTCATAAGTTTTGTTCCTTTGAATCTTGACATAATTAGCAGCTACGTTATGGACCAATTCCTACTGCTCTTGCTTGAGACTTAAGACCATTGGCTTTTCGTCTAAATACCATTCCTGCAATGTAATATAATCATGCAGGAAAAATATCAGTATTCTGGAGATTGTGCTGAAGAATCATATCAAAACATGCCGTGATGTTCCTAGCACAGTGAAGGGGCACAAAGAAACCTTGACTTCTGATCCTGGCTCCAAGGCTTTTTACGAACCTCTCAGTATTCAAACGCAGATGCCCAAGTGGGCTCCCAGACACCCAAATCGCATTTGAAGACATACGCAACCCCAGCTTCAAAGGATGTATCTTGTACCTTCTTGTTCCCATTTATAAAACAGAATCAGTGGTGTGAAGAGATCTGCCTCACCGAGGCTTTGTGAGGATTAATTAGTAAATGTTTATCATGTACCAGGAAGGTGGAACACTCTGGTTTGAATGCCAAGCAGCATTATAAATTGGGCTTCTAGTTAATTCCTCGGAAGAACATTATTACCCATTATTATTGAGTTTCCTGTGCAATTTAATGGCTATATAATACTTCCAGAAAAGATTTAACTAACCTTCTTCCACTTAACAATTAATTTATTTTCCTCCCGATGCTCTGACAGTTCAGTGAACATCTGTATGGGAGTTTGATAGCTAGGGCAGCTACGGCGCCTGCTGAATGCTGTCTGCTGAATGTCTCCTCGCAACGCTGAATGCATATTGTCAAGGTTCAAGGAGCAGCAGCTCTCCAGGCAGTCTGCTACCGTGTTTCCTTTATTTTTTAGGGAGAAGAAAAGGTCACAAAAGAATGCCCTTGGATTACATGACAGGTTGGCTGACCACCTTCCTCCTCCACCCCCATCCCGCTGACCTTTCTTCTCGATGCAGGCAGGTCAGGCAGGTGACTCCAGGACACGTACCGATTCTGTACAGCCAGAGGTGGGACACGCATGACTTCATCCCCCGTTAATTTGCCTCGACTTTTCCTAAAAATTACCGCTGGGAGACGTGGCCTTTAAACTGGCAGCGGCAGCTGAAAGTGGGAGTTTCCTGGAAGTAAAGTTGCAGGCAATTAAGGAAATTTCACCTGACAAAGGTAATTAATGACTATTAGTTCCAGCAATTGCTGCGGTGAGGTACAACTGACAAAGTGTCAAAGTGATTTTTGCAATGCAGTGATTTGAGCTGCTTTGTTTGCCAGGGGCTTGTCGCTGTTTCACTCTTGGATCCCTTATTTCTTCCTGCATTGGTACAGCAGCAAACCGGGACACCAGCAAAGTCATGGTGAACATGATGTGGGCATCACTGATGCTCCGTGTGGGAACAGTGGGGTGAAACATCCGCGGCAAAATCTGCATCCCCACTGCAACACACCCCAGCTGAACATCACAAAACTGCCAGCATATTCATCAAATTTAAGGGGTGGCCAAAGAACTCTTTAAATCACCATTATTTTCAGTAACGCTGAAGTGCTGAGGAAGTTGCAGAAAACTGGAAGAGAGCTGAAGTTGTGCCAGTATTTTAAAAGGGCAAATTGGGAGAGCAAAGTATTTATACGGCTAATACTGTTACTGATTTACGGCTTGAAATAGATCCTTGGCAAAAATGTGAAACAGCTGATAAAGAACCCAATGAATAAAAAATTACAGGAAATAAATATAATTAAAATAAATCACATTGATGTCTGTCTTTGATTGCAGCACATGGTTCATTGCTGATGGTGATATAAAGTATTCACTCCTCAATAATGAATCTGACTTGACAACACTCAACACTTCCATGAAAAAGTGAAAAAGAAATCAATATGAGGTTCAAACTGTCCAATATTTGCTAATGACTCATGGAGTAGAAAAGGTGTAAATACAGAAAATGAAGTCACTTGTACAGAGAAGTGAGGATGCAAACCGGCCAGGGGCATTTCAGCCCGGCACGAGGGAAAGGCACGCACCCAGGAGCAGCAGGATGGGACCCTTGTTGCAGGCAGGGAGACATGGCGTGGCCAGAGGAGCTGAACATACGGACTGTTCAGCATTTTGGGAACAGACATTTCTTACCTGTGCACGGGCTGTGTCCAGCGATGGATTTTAATCTGGTCGCTGGAGGGGAGGCTACGGTTTCAGTTCATTGCCCCCCTCCACGCCAGTGCCAGGCAGTCAGCCTCAGCATCGCGGTCCTCTCGACCATGTAATTTCCCGTGC